GAAGTTCTGCCTCACCTTGGCCTCAGGGCAATGGAGTCAGTCATCTAAGGACTGAGACCTCTGAAACCCTGAACCCAAATAAACTTTTCACTCTCTAAGTTGGTCTTGTTGAGTGTTTTGGTCACAGCAATGAAAACAAAAAAAAAAAACAACTAAATAACTCCATTTTGACTTCTCCGTGCAGTGGCATCTAATTTCTGCAAGGCACTCGAGGGGTACCGTGTTTGAATGGGTTCCCCAAAAGTTCATGTGTTGAGAACCTAATCCTCAAATTCAAATGTTGATGGGATTTGGAGGCGAGGCCTGTGGGAGGTCATTGGGATTAGATGAAACCCCCATGATAACTAATTTTTTTAAAAAAAGCTTCAAAAAAGAAGAGACCTCACCCTGCATGCTATATTAAAAGGCAGCAGGAAGCACTCATCAGGTGTTGGTGCCATGTTCTTGGACTTCCCAGCCTCCAGAACCATCGGCTAAATAAACCTTTATTCTTTATAAATTCCCCAACCTCTGGTACTCGGTTATAGCCATTTAAAAAAAAATTGACTAAGACATGGAGGGAATTCTGTCTGGCCCTTGGTTATTTCTCAGTATTTGCCAAGAAGTACCTTGTCTTGTTTTTAATCTACGTTCTTACTCCTTGTTGATATCACAGAGACTTCTTAATGTTTTCTGCTGTCCATTCAGGGATGGACATTTCCCCTCATTCCCTCTGCGAGGTCCTCGGAGCCCTGACCTCGGATATAGAGGAACGTGTTCTCCCCTCCCTGGGAGACGCTGGGGAGCTGACGTCCATGAGCCTGCCTTCTCCTGTCTGCTCAGGCAACACAGGCAGACACCCCTCATCCACTCCCCTAACCAGGCTGGGTAGGGCCACTCTGCAAGGCCTGGGAGCTGAGATCTAGCTCTTCTCTGCTTGGGGACCCCAGCCTACCTAGAGTTTATTCAGCCTTTTTCTTCTTGAGGCTCAGAGAAAAGGGCAGGAGACGAAGCCCTTTCTGAAACACCCCTGGGGCAGGTCACCCTGTCTCTTGTCTGCTTTTCTTAAAACATTACCTTGATACTCCACCCACGGAGTCACCGGGTCTTTGCTCCCTTCCCTTGAAATAGGAGCAGATCTTCATGATTGTCTTCACCAACAGGCTCTCTGACACTGCTCTGCACCCTCAAGATGCCACCATCCGCAGGCCCTCCCCGTCCACCTTCCTCTCTTGGAGCACTACCCTTGCAACCAAGAACCCCGCCCATGCAAAAGCCCAGACGGCCCCCGGAGAGCTCCCACTCAGGACGAGGGACCCATGGCCCTGGCCAGAGGCCCGGCTGAGCCTCCCACCCACAGCCAGCACCCACCTGCCACCTTGAGGCTGGATCCTGCTGTCCACCCACCCCCATGGAGCCATCTTGGCTGAAGCCCTTGGAGCAGAGAGGAACCTCCCATACTACACCCTGCACAAATTGCAGAATAAAGAGCAAAACAGATGAGGGTTGTTCTTCTAAGCCACTACATTTTGGGGGTGGTTCATTATGCAGCAATAAATAACGGATGCAATACTTATCAGCACCTGTTCCTCTGGCAGCTCCCTGTCTCTCTCTCTCTCTCTTCCCAGGGAGATGTTATTACTTCCAGAATGATAAAAACTGCCTCTTCATCTGCCCTTTCCCATTTTTTTTTTTATTATGGCATAAACTTTACACTCCAAGCTCTTCAGGACTTAAGCTTTTAAAACCATTAAAAAAAAAAAAAAAAACACCTGCCTTTCACAAAGCAAAAAAAAATTCTTGGCTTTCAAAATTATCATCAGGTGCCAAGTCTTTCAAAAACTCTGCTTTGAAACTCCAAAGCTGAGCACTGTCTTTATTCTCCCTCTGTGCATTCCTCCTCCAACAGCCCTCCCCTGGCAAGGACCATGCAGTGTTGCAGTCTGGGAAGGACAGTGTCCTCAGTCATCTCCAGGAGTGGGGGGGCGGGGGACACGCCCTGGATGGTATATTAAAATGCCATCATGTTACCATTCCCCAAGCAGACACAAAATCTCCCAGGTGCAAGAGTGTCCTAGACCTATTTCCTTTACATCAACTCAAATCCAACTTTGGGTCCCGTCCGATCACACATGGACCACAGTCATTATCAGAAAACCTTCTCTGAGCACCATTCACTACCCCTGAGGGGGACACAAAAGTTCTGAGGCTTCACTCACCCCAATCTCTCTAAGATAGTACCTGCCAGTTTGGGTCCCACACAAGTCTCCGCTGGGACGCACCTTGTCCAAACCATCTCGAGCCCTCCGTGGGCCACGTGTGTGAGCTCTGCACATTGGAGCTATCGGAGGGGAATGTCTGGGGTTGCACGCTGATTGGTCTGTGCCACGTAAGTGCGCCTCTCCTCTCACTCTGCCTGTGATCCCACACAGCACCCGAGAGGGTGTGGCCTGCCAAGATGTCAATCAATCTGCTGCCCACAAGACATCACCAAGCAAGACTCCACTTTTGAAATCGTATCCCCTGCCTTATTTGGTGAAGAATCTCCTTTGTGGGTCCCCCCTAAAAAAATAGATTCCGGGTGCATGCTCTCTTTCCCAGCTGACCCTTAAGGTCACAGAACCGTCCTGCCCTCCATCTGAGAAACTCATGCCTGTGTGTGGCATGATTTCTTCGCTATTTTCTTATCTTAAGGTTGCAGCCAGCTCTTTTGAACTTAGCTCATCTCCTCATCGTGGGCAGCTGTCGAGACAAACCAGTCAGCAAAACTTTGTTTTGTTTTGTCTTGATTTTGTAAAGGGCAACATAGTAAATATCCTCAACACTGTAGCCTTATAGTCCCTTCTACAAATATCCAGTTGGAGCACTGCCTTGCAGAAGAAGTCCTGGGTGAATTCAGGACTGGAGGGTGGTGGCTGTGTGGTAATAAAACTTTATTGACACAAGCAAGTGCCCACGTCCTAGTTAATGGACTCTGAGCCCAAGTTGACAGAAGTCCCTTGAATTCTTGGACTTCTCTGATTCTGCACCAGGGAGAGGCATCAAAATCTTTACCAAGGATGAACAACCAACCAAGGTCCTTGGGGTTTAGATTCCCAGGTGAATTGTGCATCTTCAATTGAGTGAGGGAGGGGTACAAGCTCACCCCATGGCCCCCCAACCTTCAGCTTTCCCAGATCTAGCGTTGTGTCCTCTCTGACCTTGACCTCCAGGGCTCGATCCTCCTCCTCCTCCTCCTCCTCTTCCTCCTTCACCTCTTCAATGAATTTAAGCATTTTACGCTAGACAGGAAGAACCACCAACTTTGAGCAGACTGTTCTTTGAATCCTGAAAACACCCGCAGTGGTTAGAAGAGGCAAGATCTGGCAATTTGCTTGACACATTGAAAGAGGGGGAAACAAAGGTACAATGAATGCAAATTAACATATTGATACATTATCCTGCCAAATATCACATTATCACGTGATACTTAACCTGTGTGGACTTTCTCATACATGCGGTGCACTTCTAGAGGACAGAGGACAGATGCCCTCCACATGACCATTCAGCTCAGTGCCTGGCATGTTGTAAATATTGACTGAATTAAAGAAAGTACATCCTGCTGGAATTTCTGGTGGCTGAGTTCCTAGAGTAGTTCTCAGTTGCTTATTTAACACTTAAGTAACTGAAGTCCCCCCCTTATATTTGCAATTATTTTTAAATGATAGAAAGCAAGTCTGGTGAGTGCCAGTAGCTCAAATATTAAATAAGAGACTCTCTCAGATTGAAGGCAGAGACCCTGCACACAGTAGGATATGCATGCGCACAGTAGGACACACACATGCACAACTGAAGAGGAGGATGGTGGGTTTAAATAACAAGATAACGGAAAGATCGAGAGATCAAGAGAGGCATTGCAAGATTCTGATTGCAACCCTGGACATTTTCTATGACTTTGAAGATTAACAAAATGGTTCTCTGTGACATTGGTACCACCAGCTCAAAACTGGAGCTTCCCCTTTATATTCATACAGACAGACCAGCCAAATTGCTCTACAGATCTGATTCTGACCATCTGGACTTTTATGTGAAATGAAGATGTGTTAACTTGATGTTGCTCTAACAAAATCCCTGATGTAATCAAATTATAGAGAAGAAAGGTTTATTTTGATTCACAGCTTCAGAGGTTTTGGTTTAGGGTTGGTCAGTTCTGTTGCTCTTGGGCCTGTGATAAGTCAGAACATCATGGAGGGAGCCCATGGCAGAGGATGTTGCTCACATCATGGCAACAGTAAAAGAGAAGAGAAAGTGAAAGAGAGAGAGGAGATGGAGTTTCCCACTATCCTCACCCAATGACCAGAAGACCCCCCACAAGACCCCACCTGTTGAAGTTTCCACCACCTCCC